ATGTCAAGGATTCTAACTTTATGGCAGTCGTAAAGTGCATTATTTCTTATTCAACGCTTTATAAAAGCTGAAATTCTTTTAGGGTTAAATATTATTTTATCTGCCTCTGTCAGAGGAGGCAGACACACATTTATTGAGCATGGAAATACATATCAGAAATTACCTTTTTAACGCAACAGATCTCAAAAATCAAAGCAGAGAACAAGGGCACAACAAGCAGATGTTGCCGTGGAGACCTCCACATGATATTGCCAGGACTGCTTTTTCTCAGACTGATGAGAGAATTGTTTGGCATCAGAAACGGCATCAAGTCCTAAATTTCTCTTGCTTTTTTCTAGCTGTAAATGTTACTGCAGTACAGTATTCATGGTTTATACTGATCCAGATCAGAGCAGAGAGGAGTCAGAGTCTGAACCAAGCAGCAGCAAGTGTAAGTCCACTGGAGGAATGCAATTATTATTTTTTCTAAATGCTAATACATGTCACTCTGAACCAAAGCAGAGAAAATGGTCCAACCAGAGAATTGGAAGCTGCTCACCACCAGCAGCTTTTCTACCTGTGCAGCTGTGACCTAAAGTTCTGTTGTACATTATTACTATTTTTTGCCAATTACATCTGTATACAGAGAACCAAAAAAACTGTTTATTATATTAGATATTTACCCAGATATATGATAAGTGACGAATTTAAATCTATATTTAATCTGCTTGAATGACCTATCATACCAATTCGATGGACCTCTGTGAACTACTCATCAATTCTGTCGGTCTACTGTTACTTGGCAAAAGGTTTTTAGCTCCAGAGATAAAACCATAATAATAATTTCAGCCGCACCTCATGTTTTTCTTTACTTTACATAGCTTTTGACAAAAACATTTATTCGACCAAGTTGTAGATTTATCTTTGCCAAAACCATGTAACTGAATGAATAAATCAAAAGCAACTCCAAGTGACTCTGCCTTTTACTGAGAAGAGGCTTCGTCTGGCTACTCTTCCAACACGATCCGATTAGCGAAGTGTCCAAGGACAGTGGTGATGACCCAGGACATTGGTCATCTGTCCCGTATGGACCAATGGCTGTGTTTTTTATTATTGCATTTCTTGTGTTTGAAGAATTACTGATGTGCTATACAAATAAACACATAATTGAATTGCATTGAATCATTGTCCTTCTGTAGGGTTCTAAAGATAATGCAAAAGCTCAGTCAGAGTGACAGTTATTTCCCTGAGAACATGACCTTTAAAATGATGTATAACATGCCACAGTAGGCCATTACCTCACAAAATAAATCCTTATATAAACCCTCCCACTTTGGGCTCAATAGCTCGCACTATATCCATAACTTCACCTCTGAACTTCGGTGCTAACAGTTTGTGCTTGGTTAGTGCTTGGCGCCTTCACTACGATGACACTTTATTGACAACAAGGTTACGTTGCTCTTTCTCGCTCTCTGTGACCTTTCCCATAATCCTCGTCGTCAGCCGAGCGCCGCTGCCCCGAGCCGGCCTGTTATCGGAGCTCTGATGCCCCAAAGATACGGCTTTATCGCCTCAATCAATCAATCAATCAATCAACGTTTATTTGTAGAGCGCCTTTCCTACACAAGGCAACGCAAAGCGCTTCACATCCCCTATCACATCATGCATAAATCAAACACATTAAGAGCACAAGATATATTAAAAACATTAAAAATAAAATCACAAAAATTAAAAACCTTTAAACATTAAAATCACAGATGGGACTAAAATCATAAATAGTCACAGTGCATTAAAAAGATTAAAGATAAAAACAAAGATGAAAAGATAAAATCATTCAGTTGTATATGCGCAGCTAAACAGAATTGTTTTGAGCCTAGATTTAAAAGATGCCAGAGTAGACGCCTGTCTCACATTCTCAGGAAGACGGTTCCAGACTCTAGCCGCATGAATCTGAAATGCAGTTTGCCCATGTCTAGTACGACTCTGGGCACTAACAGGAGTCCAGTCCCTGTGCTCCTCAGAGTCCGGGTCGGTTCATATGGCACAAACATGTCATGGATGTACCTTGGCGCGAGACCATGGAGAGACTTGTACACAAGTAAAGCTGCTTTGAAGTCTATTCTCTGAGGAACAGGAAGCCAGTGCAGAGACCTGAGAACTGGACTAATGTGGTCGCACTTCCTAGTTCTGGTCAGGACTCGAGCTGCTGCATGTTGAATGTACTGCAGCTGTTTTACAGCCTGTTTGGACAGACCTGTGAACAAGCCATTGCAATAGTCTAACCGACTGGAGACAAAAGCGTGTATAAGAGTCTCCAAGTCTGCCTTAGACACTATGTTTTTAATTTTAGCAATGTTTTTTAGGTGGTAATAAGCTGCTGATGTTACAGATTTTATGTGGCTTTTGAAATTTAAGTCTGAGTCCATTATCACTCCTAGATTTCTGACCTGATTTGAGGGTTGTAGAGAGAGAGCCTGGAGGTGACAGATAACGCTCTCTCTTTGTTTCTGGGGTCCGAAAACAATTATTTCAGTTTTGTCGGTGTTTAGTTGGAGAAAGTTATTTTGCATCCAATCACCGATTTGCTGGACACAGTGAAGGAGCGAGTCCACTGGCCTCGCTCAACTTGTCTCCAGTTCGTCCGATAAGAAGAGAGCGGTAATTAATAAATGCGGAATTAATTACGAGCAGCAGCCATGTTACCTTGTAGCGTCTTTGGTTTGGTCGTTGAAAAAATATAAAACAATAATCCGAAATCATACCATATACATTTGAATATCTTTGTATCTCAGAACTCTGAAGCTATGCAAGGCGGGGCCTGGTTAGGACTGTGATGGGAGACCTCTGGGAACACCATGTGCCTACAGGGCATCTGTGGCTGTAAAGTGCCAACATGTTGTTGTGTCCTTTGGCAAGAAACTTCACCCACATTGTCTAGAATGAGTCTGGTGTGTGTGTGAATGGCTGGTGGTGGTCGGAGTGGCCGATGGCACATACCTGTTGCCTCTCTAAAGAATCATTGCATGTGAAGCGTCTTTGAGCGTCCAAAAAAATGTTGTATTATAATTATTATTATTGCAAAAATGCGTTCATTGATGGCCCTTGCACACTTAATCCTTCCTGAGTGCTTTTGCTTTGGCATTTTTCATAATTTAGATTGGCAGCTCAATCTATTAAAAGCTGGACTTATTGTTCATACATAACACATGAAAGAGTTTTGTAAATAGAAATCATTGTGAAGAAATCAGTTGTTCTTATCTTAAAAGAAAACATGTTAGCTTTTGTGTACTTGAAAGAAAGAGCCCTGTGAGTCCCTATTTGATGTTTTGGGCTGAATGAGTTTGATCCTTTCTTTTTCACTTTCCCGTCTGATAAAACTGAAGGAAAGATGTGACTGAGGCCAAATATACATAAATGTTAAAACTGGGGATAGTAGCAGAACTCTTGAGTGCGAGGACAATGGACTTGAGGTTTGAAATGTACGTATTTCAATTCAAATCATTCTTCATTTAAATTACTAAGAATAAAGACACAATAATAAAACCATAATTCAACAACAATATCAACTGAAAAATGCAGAAAGAAAAAACCCATGATATTGTACCTCTTTTTACACTCAACAATAGCATTTCCACTGTATTAGTCACTGCTTTCACCACATGCTACACATCCATGTGACATTTTGGGGACAATACATTGAAATAAAACAAGACATTTAGCTCACTGCACTCTGCAACTTTGTAAAATATGATATTTGGAGTTTCTCTTGAAACTTGTATAGATTTGTTCCATTGGCTGACACCTTTTAATGGATGTATCTCTCTTTTGTTGCTGTCCTGAACCTGGGTGTTTGGAAGATTTTAGCTCCTTTCACTTAATATCGACTTTCTCTTTTAGTGAAAATTGGTTGGAGACTTAGATGTGAAAAGTTTATCTCTGCTTCCATAGCTTTCATACAGGGAGGCTGCCAGGCTCTTTTATAATGAATGCCTTGTTATGTATGAACATTTTTTAAACAAAATCTTCCTGTTTTCCAGAGTGCCAGAGCTTTAGTCAAACAAACATGTCAGATAAAAGACAGTTTTTCAATAAGTCTTTTATAAATACATTGAATACTCCTCTTCTCACTGACAGCGAAGGTGAATCTAGACATCTCTTACAAAATATTGTGTATTTATTTATCCATATTTTGGCCTCTATTTCAACCAACTTTGTGTGTATGTATGTCTTACACAAGAGAACGATGTCATGATACCATCAAGTGGTCAAAAGCTGGAGTGTGTAACTTTAAAACAAAAATGAATTAATTATGTAATAACACTGGGCATATGGGAAAAAAAGTTGTTTAGTTGATATTATGGCCCCATTTGGTCAATCATGATTTAAAATGGATTTTTATTGAAGTCACCGAAGGCCACTGATTTTATTCAAATTTCAAACCGCAAATGTATTATATGGAATTACACCTCAAGTATAATACAATTTTACAATATTAATACATACATTCAATTTTTTGCTCGGCCCACTCTGTAGAACAATCCACGTCACTTGTTCCTGGCTGTAAAACAGTTTGGTTATATCACCAGTTTTCACATAGAGCTCAAAAGATAAAATGTTTTCTAGTAAGATAAAAACTGGGACATTAATAAAACAAAAAAAGTTGGAAATTCCAGATTTAAAGTTAGCGTCTTAGCATCACAGTGATATTTACAACTTTGAGACAAGCTTTTTTCAAACTTACATTTCCAGTTTACATTTGTATATTGTAAGTACATAGTGAGAACTAATGCAAAGGATTTGAAGACGCATATAATGGATTATAGACAAAAAATTGCAGAAAAACTCATGTTACCAGATGTTTCACTACTTCTGGTTTGCTGCTCTAGAAAGTAATCATTGTAGCTCAGTGCGGACCAGACCGGGCTTAACGCCACTAAAACCTGACACAAAGTCGTGATTCAGAGACTCGCACCGGGAGAGAAAGGGGGGGGGGCAATAAAGAGGACACAACCTGACCGCCCTCACCCCCACCACAACCCCCACACCCCCCCACACACGGCCTCTGAGGTGTAGCCAAAAGCCGGCTTCATCCGCTGAGCCCCCGCATTGATCTGCTCCGGAGCCCGAAATACATTGTCTCCATGGCACCTCTCAAAGTCAGCTGTGCTTCTGCTGCCAGCGCTGGCCCGCGATGGACAGCCACAGGAGCCTTCAGTCACGGCGCAATGTCACCTGTTTAAAGAACCAGCGAGCACAAATCAACTGTCCAGGGCTGCGGAAAACCAAAGAAAGGCCCGATCAATTATTTATGGTAATGATAATAATGCGTCGGTTTGATATTTTTTGGACACTCTAAGACGCGTCACCTGTTATTTATTCATTAAATTCATACACAGTGGTGATGAACTGTAGCCACAGCTGCCCAGGGGCGCACTGACAGAAGCGAGGCAACCAGTATGTGCCGTCCGCTCCTCAGATCACCACCAATGATTCATGCACACACCAGACTCATTCTAGACAATGTAGGTGAAAGGCCATGGCAGTATGGCACTTTTTAGCCGCAGCCGCACTGCCATGGCACCTGGTGTTCCCAGAGGTCCCAGAGGTCCCAGAGGTCACCATGCTTAGCTTCAGAGGTCTGACGGGATCTGGCTTTCACATGCAGGTGGTGAGACAATTCACTGTCGTTTCATGTTTATAAGGGAAAACATTTCCCAAGTAGACATACTGTTAGCCTGGCCTTAGCCATCCGTACACTCCGCTCAATCATCATTTCACTGCATGTAACATCTGGGTCTGGTCCCCATGTTAGCGACCATTCAGAGAGCGCGGAAGGCGGGTGTCGTAGTTAGTTGTGGGTGATGTCAAGAGTTTGCGTCGAACGGGAAGGTAGTGGTTTGGCAATGGCAAAGAATGCGATAGTAAGTCATCCGGTCTGGTTCTAATAAGAAATTGAAGCCGGAGCAAGAGGAATGTTTAGCAAATGTAATTGCTGGAAAAAAATTGTAGCGCTACTCCCCATGGACTCCGTTAGCGGCAAAGGAGATGGCTAGGCTAAATGCTAAATGCTAACGACGGATTTGGGCGCACTACATACTAAACTCAGATCCAATCGTTTAATTCTGCAAAAGGAGTTAACCCCTCCCACCTGTAAACGGAGCTCAATGGAGTGCCTCCAGACCTTAGTACGCAATGTAATTTGTACTATGGTGTGGTAAGACCAGGCTGCCATACTGTAGGTTGAAGAGTTGAATTATATATTTTTTCCCCTAATGTAAACATTTAAAGCAATTGATTTCACCCGAGAAATTGCCAACACTAAATTATGGGCATTTTATCTATTTATTTATTTGCATGGGGCAGTTCTGTAAATACACCGGAATAAGCCATGGACCAATTTCCATCCGTTGCCCTTCTGTTTAATCAAAAACACACTCACTCATTGGAAATATTGCACATGTTTTTAGTGGTACGAGAAACCGGATTACCCAGAGGAAACCTACACAGACACGGAGAGATATTAAGCAAACTCCACATTGGAAGACCTTTTGTGAGCATTAATAGTCGTTCATGCCGAGGATTCTATGGATCTGTATGGATATGAATACGAAAGATCTGATTTTGATGATGGAACAGTGTTGTAACATGGATAAAAGCTCCAAAAAGTCAGCTTGCATAAATTGCCTCCTCTCTGTCTCTCTCGCCCTCCTCTCAAGGTCAGTGGTGTTCCTTCCAGCGGCGCCTGGCTCTCCCCCGACTCTCCCTAGACCCATTCATTTACATTTTACAGCATTTCAAACAGTCACCCGCGTCTGCCTGCTCACATTTGAACAGTGTGTGACTTTGTGCGCTCCACGGCCTCATTTCGGCGCCGAGGTCCACGGAGGGCGCACTGAGGCTGGCGGATGTGTGCGCACGCCGTAATGGGGCCCGCGTAACGCCCTGCGCCACGCTTTTCATTGGCAGGAGGAGAAGGGGAGGAGGAGGAAGGGGGGCTCGGCAGGGGCCTCCATCTTCAGGACGTTCTACAGCCTGACCTCGTAAGGCTGATGCAAGTGCTCTCTCAACCTGGAGCGCATTGGTCAATTACATTTCGGGTTTATGAGAAGAATTCAATTAAGCAGAATGTAATATAAGTGAGGGCCGAGTGCTTCTGATCGAATCTAAACAAGAGTCTGTGTATGGACTGGGGCGAGTGTACCATGGAGCAGCCACCGGGAGCCTCTTTTTTTTTTTTTCTACCAATAGAGAAGTGGGAAGATATTCAAACGCAGAACATCACAGAGAAACACCATGTACCCATCAAAGCACAACTCAAATGTGAAAAATACAAATGAAGAAAGACTGCAAGCAAAATAGATGCAATACACTAATTCTTCATTTTAAAAAGTGTATTGATTACTTACTGAACCATCTCGGACTGGCCTCCTGCTGGTCCCCAGAGTCAGGACTAAACATGGGGAGACAGCATTTCAGATTTATGCCGCTAAAATCTAGGTATGTCTTCCTAAAATGGCTTCTACTCTGACAATGCTCAAATCCAGGTTAAAAGCAGGATTTGTTTAGCTGTGCATACAAAAGAAGATATTATCTTCACTCGATTTAATGTACTGTAATTATTTCTAATATTATTGATTCTATTGCCTTATTTGATTATTTCTATATCGTCTTTGAGTTTCCCTGTGTATGACCTATAAAACAGCCTTGCCTTGAGATTATAAGTTTAAAATAGTTTGAGATTTTGTTTAATTTTAGATTTTATTTTATATTAGTAATGATTAGTCATCATTTATTTTTCTTGTGTTGTGTGCTCCTCATTCCTACTGACTGTAATTTGTGATGCAACACTGAAATTTCCCCAATGTGGTGCGAATAAAGGATCTCTTAATCTTAATTATTTTTCATGTGTAAAAATATGGTTAAACAGTTTGGCGAATATAAATCTGCAGCTATTGTAGTAATAACCCTTAAATCACATAGTTCGAATTTGCAGGTGCCTAATTCTCAACAAGCCGCTGCCTCCGAGCGCCCCTTACAGGAAAATGAAACGTAAAATCGCCATCATTACGGCGCTGATGGATGGCGAGTTTAAGTGACTGCAGATTCCCCATATGGCAGCACGAGGCTTTATGGAGGCCTGTTATTCTGGATCCGTGGCCGCGTATCGTCTGCCGCGTGCGCTTAAAGTGAGGCCGCTGCTGATTTTTAAGAGTTCCTAGGACAGGTGCGGCAGCAGATGTCCGCTGGTAGGTGCGCATACTTTCCCCCCCCAAACACACAGATGGAGCCACTCGATGCAGCCTCCAGACGAATGGAATCATTAATGTGATTCGGAGGAAAGGGGAGATTTAATCAAGGGAGAAGCAGCAAATCTACCAGAAATGAGATGGTACTTTCCCCACGAGACGGCTCACTACCAGACGAGTGTTTGTGCCAGAGAGCGTTCTAGCCTTTCTCTACACTGCAAAAAGCAATGATATGTTGTTGTGTTGTGATTCAGGGCTAGAGAAGAATAAATTGCATTGTTATGTATTGTGGGTTCCTACCTTTTTTACCTTGATAATTGATATGTATTTCCCAACAAATTGTTTGAAATGAATATATGTTAAACTTTCAACAAAAAGTAAACAGGATATACAATGAACAAAAATACCTAGTTTGAAAAGAGGTTGGACACTTTTTTAACTCTAACTTCTCTCACTCTTTCAACAAAACACAAGATGCACACAAACAGACGCGCACATACATGGACGAGCACATACATGGACGAGCACATACATGGACGAGCACATACATGGACGAGCGCATACATGGGCGCGCGCATACATGGACGAGCACATACATGGACGCGCACATACATGGACGAGCACATACATGGACGAGCACATACATGGACGAGCACATACATGGACGAGCACATACATGGACGAGCACATACATGGACGCGCACATACACACACACAATTCTTACATAATTGCGTGTTCGTATGTGAAATAATACACATATGTTTAAAGTGTATGCTTAATACATTAAGACCACTTTATTAGGTAAACAATGTCATCTGCCTGCCCTTTCCCTTTGCTACCACAGAGAGAGGAGTTAACTTTGTTGAAAAATTACCAGTTGCAAACAGAGCCATGTGATTGTTAAAAAATGTGATTTCACCTGAGAAATTGACAAATATTCTTAACGGAACATACTTTTGTTTTAAAAGACAAAAACCTACTCTGAGTATGGTTTCATAGTGGTACAAAACATCATACTATTGCAGGACTGAGACAGGAGCTTTTAGACAGAAGGGGTGGAGCTACATGTTCTTCCCTGAAGTTCATGTATTAGTTGGATCTCACAAAAACTCCAGGTCTGTTTTTGATTATGAACCAACATCATAAAATTGTTAAAAAATGAAACAGTCGATTTTGCATGAACACCATTATTTTGTTCGACTAACGATAGTCTGAAATTAGAAATGTTTATTCCAAAAAAGCTGCAAAACAAACTCCCACCAGAGAAACCATTTGAGAATTCAGGATTCATTTACGACACAAACACACACAACACACTGCAGTGATAAATGGCCCACTCCACATCCATCAAACCTGAAGCCTGTTCGATTTAGAGGCTGACTCGGCTGGCTTTTAAACAGAAGGGGATACAAGTTTGTGGCTGAAATTCCTGATGTTATAGCGGATGGATTAAAAAAAGTATTTTTTTATGAGGGAACAAGACTTATGTTATGTTTAAAAGCGTTGGTCACTCTGCAGTCTAGCCCTCACTAAATAACAGTTACTTTGTGTATGATTTATGAATAATTTGCTCTTAATTGGTATTTATTAAGCACTTTTTAGTCCATTAGTCCAGTTTACATGGCCTTATTCAACATCTAACTAGCAACTAACCATGTGGGCCAGGATTTAGGGTTTGGGTTTCGGTCAGTGTAAGGCAGTGGTTCCCAAAGTGGGGGGCACAGTGCAATTGTAGGGGGGGTGGTACGACTGAATGACAGAAAACACAGTAGGCCCAATGACACTGCTGGCATAAGATGGACACATTTTTTGACACATTACACCACACATTACAATGCAGTTAGGCTGAGGTTTATATTAATCAGAATGTGTGAAATTATTTGCAATGGACTCTGAAAACAAAATGTGCATGTATGTCCATTTTTGTCCCAAAGGGGGCCCAGCAGAAAATGTTTGGGAATCAATTTGAGTCTCTCAAACTGATTCTAGAAATTACGCCATCAATAGTCAATTGTAAAAAAACACAAAAGAGACTTGATACAAAAAGGTTGGTTGTTGAATTAAAAAATGTCACCCCTCCTGAGTGAACTTATGATAAAGACCTATGTATGGGCATTTCAGGTATAGGGCAAGGGTGAAGGTTAGGGTTTGAGCTAGGGTTAGGGTTAGGCTTAGCGTACATTATTTAGCACTAAATTAGCTGTTCATTTGTGAAGGCTAATCCAAAGTGTTACCACAGCTTTTTTTTCTTCATAACATGTGTCCTTAGATGAAAATCATGGAATCGGATAATACCAACACATGTCTCAAAACAACAACAAAAATCGATCTTCAAACCCTTCGTCCCGTGTATATATTCTCCGCATGCGTTCCATTCGTGCGCGCTCACCACGCCGTGAACTCTATGCTATGTCTCATATTGTATTCCGCCGTTGCTGAATAATAAATCCAGCGCACCTCTCACACTTGAAAGAAAGCTTGAATTTTTCATGCTGCGTTTCTCAGGTGAAGACACAGAGGTGTTTGTGGAGCTACTGCCGGTGTCAACGTGTCGGTAATTTAACTGCGCTTTGGTGCCGCTAACTTCATAAAAATATCATCTCCCGCAGACATGGCTACGGTTGGCGCACAGAGATGGGACTTTTATGTTTGTTTTTATAGCGTTTAGCAGCTCAAGGATGATCATTTATTTTACATTGCGTGTGCTGCACTAAAATTCGGGAAGATAAAATGAAACTATCAAGCTAGTTTATCGTGCGTAGAGGAGAGTAACACAATATAGCAATGTTGGCTGAGTAAAAAGAAAGTATTTCATAGTCTTTGGTGAATGTGTACACAATTAGTGATAGTTGCATTTAATATGATAATTACTGACGCATGGACTTATTAATGCATCAAGTTAGACTCAAACAGTTTGTAATGATTTATATCTTAAAAGAAACTTTAAACATATTGTTTATAAATGTATTGTTTGTTTTAATCCATTGCTGATGTAGAAAGTACAAATGGATGTTGAGTTGTCTTGTGTATGAATTGTGCCATACAAATAAACTTGCCTTGGCTAGAATGTTTTCAGTTCAATCAAACAATCACTTTAAATACGCTGTTTGAGCAGCACATGCATTGCACAACTGTACTGTATTGTGTTGTATGATTCATAATACAAATGTATTAATTTATTGAACAGCAGTAGTATAAAAAGGGGTAAAAAAAAGGGATATATGTCATGTAATCCATGTAAGTAGTTCCTCAAAACAGTTTGGGTCCATCACAACATGGTTTTTAGGCCTCTGTCACATTTTCAGACCAACTCCTTTGAAACAGAAGTGAAAAAGAGAGAACTGAACCAAAATAATACATTTTCTAGTGGGGAGAAGAAAGATTGGATTTGTTTGTCATTTTACTTGTTTTAACATTATTTTTTTACTGAGACAAAACAAATATTATCCATGAAGAAAAGTTAACATGGGCCTTGTCTTCCTCTGCGTGTAAAGTGCTCACACGTCCTCTCCTGTAAACATACAGAAGGCCTGATCCATGGCCTGGCTCTGTGCTCCGTCACCTCCGCCCTCCCTCCGTCTGCTGGGGGGACTCTCAGAGGTTATTATGGACCTTTTTCCCCGCAGCCACGTACGACCCGCCAGCACGGATCACATGACGGCGAGCGGGGAGCAGCTGACCACTGTCCAGCGCGTCTGACCTCCACCCCGCGGTCCGGCTTCATCCAGCTGGGCAGTCGCGCCAGAGCACAACAGGGCCCGCTTCCAGAGCGAGTGGCCAAGAGATGCACCGTCCAGGTCAGCCGAAAGTCCGAACAAGTTACCAGGAAAAGTCAGAGGAAAACTATGTGAGAACAAACTCAAGACAAGAAATAGGAGAGGAAAAATATGAGCTACCAGAGATTTGTCTCCAGTAGGTTAAAATACTAAATGTATAAAGTAAGTAAGTGAGTACCTTATTTATATAGCACATATTTACAGACCAAGGTCACCCAAAGCGCCTTACCATGTTCAAAACGTTAACTGTCTTTATCTTCCGAAGGCATAGTGCTTAGGTAGTGAAGCAGTATTAGCTTATTTAAACTCTTTGTCTTCCAAGCTTTATGTAAAACTACTGTAACGGCCTGCTCACTGGTCGCTCCAAATGAGCTCTAAAACAGCTGCTGGGTATTCAAAATGCTGCAGCTCAAGTCCTGACTAGAACTAGGTCTCGGGTCCCAGCTCTGGTTGTTTCAGGTCTCTCCATGGTCTCGCACCAAAGTACATCTGTGACGTTAATGATGCATATGAACCAACTCTGACTCTGAGGAGCACAGATAAAAGACTAAAGATTAGGCAGTATTTCAGATTCACGCAGCTCAAGTCTCTAACTGAGATTTTTAACTTCACCTCCGGATCGTGGTCTTGTGATGTCGATTGTGATTGTTTTAAAACATAGTCCCGTTGTTTTAATGCAGGCCATTTTGTGTCTGGGTGAGACACAAAAACCATGAACCCGATGGCGAGCTAGAACCCAGAACCTATTCAACCAAAAGCGGTCAGGGTAGGAGGCTGTTGCAGTCCGTCCACTCCCACACTCATCCACACACACTAGTCGCAATAACCAAACGGATTATCAATGCAAAGACTTTCAATAACCATGAACATTTAAGCCCACATCGTTGTGGCACTCCACTACCCGTCTTGTGTGTGTGATTCTGTCACGAGCTGTGACCCATGGTTGGGAACCATTGTGGACATTTTAAAAGCTTAAAGGAACTGCTGCTGTTTTGTTGTGTTGTTGATTTGTTGATCTGCAGAACTGTATATACATGCCCTAAATGTTCATGGCACCCGCCGGTAAACAGTCTGTCTCTTGTGTCTAATATTACTTGCCTCAAACCTCCCAGAGAGCCGTATCTACTCTTCTGATCTAGTCTAAAGAACCCATTTCTTTCTATACTGTACTATCACTGGCATAACGTAACTCATATATGCTACACTCGGTCAGGACTATTTTTTTTTTTTTAAATATGTTTTTTTCAAAAATCTGTAAACAACAATTTACAGAACAAAATATGGGGTTGGATGAAGAATGGCTTATTTCAAAATACCCTCACCGGAGCACCTGGAGGCAACCCCACCCAGACATGAGTGAAACCTGCAAACTCCACAGAGAAATCCCGGCTGACATGAGATCTAGTCTCTGTTTTTGTGGTGCTGAGAGGAGCTCAGGGTTTTAAATAGGGTTGGGCATCGTTTGCAATTTTCCGATTCCGATTCCGGTTCCGATTCTCACTATCGATTCCTGTTCTAAACGATTCTCGATTCCGATTCTTTGAGGTGCAGGAGAGAAAAAAAAAGATAATTTTTTATCAAATTTTATTTCATAAGTACTTTTCCTGCCATAAGGCAACAGAAAGTGCTTTACATAAAAACAAATTAAATTAAAAAACAAGGAACACGAACACACACACACACACACACACACCAGTAGCGGCGCCAGGTTTGCAATTTTGGGTAGGCCTGCAGATTAGTAAGTAGGCCAAATTCGCTTGCAAACTACAAGGGCTAACTGGAATTGGGGTTTCAAAGAATATGGTTCAAACGCACACACGCACGCACACGCACTCAAGCACACACATACACACAAGCTCATTTATGAAACTTGCGTAGAAAAAGGTGTACATTTTGGGTGTATATTCCATTTACGCAAAATCCAACGTCGGATTTATGAACGTGTGAGATCCGCCCAGATCTGAGCGTACGCAGCTGCGGGTGTTGATAAATCGGCTGAATACGAACGTATTTAGTCACGCCTATTATGCAGCAATCGCGTGTTTCACGCCCCGTCTTCGTGACAGGTCAGCAGGAAGCCGGCCAAAAAGACTGTTTGGAAGCCTCAAAAGGCACGTTTGTTTGTTCATGTTTATGTAATAATAAATATGCGCTATATATTCAGCTGCGTTTTGAACAAATTTGCTAAAATGTTTTGATACATTAGAAAAATCTCTCTTGAATTGTAGAAGTGAATAAATATAGATTGATTGAATGAATGAATAATTCATATATATCATGCAGCGGTGGCTCTGAATGAAGCGTCTGCAGCGTCTTGGACGCAGCCTGGCTCGGGGTAGAAGTGCGCATTGAAGCGCTGTACACTTCAGAGAGCGTTTGCGGTCCAGATTTCACAAAGAAACTCTGGAGCCAAAACTTCTGCACATGTGGCGCGACCTCTCACGGCACTCGCTGCGCACTCTGGACAGGGCAGTGAGACATTTGTGAGTGAGCAATACCATCGATAATCTTTAGTAAGTAAGTAAGTAATCTTTATTTTATATACCGCCTTTCACAGACCAGAGTCACAAAGCAGTTTACAATTGTTATTTTTTGGGCACTTGTCCTCTCACTCCACACAGAGATGGGAGCGGGGTCGCCGAACAGGAGGCGCATGCCAGAACTATTGTACATATTTTTAGTGGTAGGGGAAACCGGAGTACCCGGAGGAAACCTACGCAGACACGGGGAGAACATGCAAACTCCACTCAGAAAGGCCCTGGTCAGACCGGGATTTGAACCCAGGACCTTCTTGCTGAAAGGCGAGAGTGCTATCCACTCAGCCACCGTGCCGCCCGTGGCGTTATTGGGGTGTGTGGCTGTGTGAGGCTTACACAAATCTAATGAAATAACACATTGCTTTACCAGATGTGAATGAGGAATACAAATAGCCGTGCGTAATTACGCAGCGCAGAGCCTGCCACAGCAATAGATGGGTCACACATCCCTGTTGCGTAAAGTGTATTTATATAGAGCCTTTCACTGTCCAGGATCACAAAGCACTTCACATTTTAAAAACATACAGATCAAAATAATACACACACAAGTCAGATTTAATAGAGGGTCCTCATCATGAGCTGTGATTTATTCGAAGTTTGCGTGTTTCCATTAGACTTTTTCTGATGCGCAAATTCAAATTTTGAAACATGATCCTCAATGAAAACACAGCATATAATTTTGCCAGAGGGAATATGTTTATTGTTGTACATATCCTGAATTTATCGTGTTTTCGGAGTTTTTTACGGAGCATTACATGGAGGAGGAGCAGGACTTTTTGCGGTCCTCGGCAGGTGGACAGCGTGTTTCCCTTCTTCATCATTACAAAGGGCCTGACCAGTAACTTTAAGGTAAGGAACATCAGTTTTGGATGTGTTTGTAAAGCGAGTGATGAAACTGATGTAGCGTGAGTTTGGGGAAACTGCACCGGGCTAGCACGAGTGTTCAACCGGTCAATACGCCCGTTAAACCTCGTTGTCTGGACTCTAACTTAACCAAATAATATCTGAATTAGTCATTTGACGGATAAATGTTTGCTTCCTTTACCCCTTGACTCAGTTTTATCTGCGTTTGTGGAAAATGTGAAGATACAAGCGTTGAGAGGTTTCTTTGCGATGGCAGGAGTTAACGGTGTGGCTGAAGCTAAATGTGGATGCAAACACGAGCGCGCCGTCTCATAAGAGCTTAATTCACTGAGTTTTTCACAGCTGGGTGGACAGCTGCTAAGCATTTTTGAAACGTGTCCCCCCCCACCTTCCAAACGCTTCCGCATCCGGAATTTAGGAATCGAAAAAAGAATCAAAATACAAACGTCTTCTTAACGGTTCCGGAACCGCACTTTAGGAACCGGTTCCAAATAGGAACCGGTTCTCGGTGCCCAACCCTAGTTTTAAATGAGTCGACCAATCATGACCCAAGCAGCCGGCACATGTGATGAGTTTGTTAACATCCAGGTAGAAATACAGAAAAGAGCACAGTTTAAGAAAACAAAATAATAAAATTACAATCTAGAGATAATTAGAATCTTGAAAAATGCATTTTAATGATAAAAATAAAAACCTAAACTGTGAAACTAATACTTGTTATGCCTTTGTTTGTTCTGTGACTATATTGACTTAAAAGACTATTCAAAATCTCAGAGGATTAGAATACTGTGAAAAGGGACTATGTTCTCAGCCCAAAAAGTCATCTTGTCTTCAGATAATTGACCCAAAACTTGAAATGGTATCTCAAGAAAAGAAAAGTGTGTTGGATCCTCACAAGGAGAAGACTGAGGCTGGAGGTGGTGCATCAAAAGTCACCATAGACAGATCAAGGACATGGTCTGAAAATGTCCTCTTTCTCTTTTTAAGCCACTAAATTTTTCACGATATCCTAATTATCTGAGTTTCCCCCGTTCATTGATAGATATACATTTTGACAATACATTTTTTTAAATAAAAACCTTCCAGATAACATGACCCAATCTGACATCATTTCAAAACTCTATTCAATTCAAAAAACTTTATATCCTTGAGGAACTTGGTACATTTACAGACAGAGCACCAGTGTGGATAAATAAAAACACTGAAACACAAGATAAAATACTGGGAGCCTTTCCTAAAAACTTTGTTATTGTAAACGACTGTCTTGCTGCTGTCCAATGGTATTCCTGCTAATTTTAATGATCTATAACAGTGGCCTCCTTCCCCAATCCAATTACAGTACACTTTTCTAAGTCAATTATAGACTTAAATTCTGCCCCGCTCAACTTTGCCCCTGAACTGGTGGACACATTTCCCCCATAAACCAAACTTTTTTCTCATTAGAACTTTGCAGTGGACATATTTTCCAGAAGCCGGTGGAACAAACAAAGTATTTAGCAGAAAAATGCCTTTCTGTTGATTCATGTAACAACTCGCCATGCTTTCTACTAATGCGGTTTACTTCTCAAACAACAGTCGATGCAGAGGAAACCGGACTTTTCATCTCCCGGCTTTTTGTAATGTTAAACGGCACTAATGGATTCACTTGATGAAATCCGCAGATAATAAAAATAT